CTCTGCCTCCCCTGCCTCCCCTGACCGCAAGTCCCTGGTGCACTCCTCTGGCTTCCCCCGCTGTTAAAGTCCTCATCTCAAACGCGACACCCTACCTCAAAAACGCCGATGTGCAACGAGATCTCCAGCGGTTTGGGAAGATCGTCTTCCACATCATCATGGTGCCCTTGCAGGGACGGTAGCAGAAGTTAGCGCACGTAACGTCTTTTCAGCGCTAAACGTTCATGATTTTGATTGACCACAATGTCGAACTGGACGCGAACCTCAAATACGCGGTCGACGGGCACGTCCACGTAGTGCGCGCGTCGGCCGCGGTGCAGCGGTGCTTCAGGTGCGGTCGTGTCGGCCATTCCCGGAGAAACCGCCCGGCCAAGGCAAAAGATAAAGCTGAAAAGCCTGTCCCAGACACGGTGCAAAAGCAGCAGCAGGCCGCTGACTCGGTGGCCATCCGCGCCAAGCCGTCTACCGAAAGCGAGGACGGTTTAACCACCAACCACCCTCGAGTCGCGAGAACGTCGGGCAAAGGGTGGCCCTGCCGGAGGAGGGCACGCTGCCACGAGGCCCGAGAGTGCAGCCACCGCGGACGATGAGCCCGACCCACCAGACGCAGTGCAGGCCGAGGAACGACCCCCAGTGGGACGCTATCTTAGACGGCTCTGAGGGGGAAGCGATGCAAGCAAGTGCAGTTGATGGCGGCCTCGGGGGGGTAGGCGTGGTGGGAGATGCACGACCAGCAGGTGCTGCATCGGTTGCCTCCGAGCCAGAGGGGCGACAGGCCAGCGCAGCGTCTGACGGTGCCACGGTGCTGGAGGGTGCCAGCCAGTTCACCTCACCCGAGCAGGTAGCTATAGAGCTTCGGTAGAGGAGACGCACCCCGATTCGGATAAGGCCTTGGCGTTTGTGTCGGCAGAAGATGAGTCTACGGAGCCACGAGCGATTGTGCACGAGGACTCTGATGACGAGTTGTCAAAATCCGATGTAGACGGCAACGTGAGTAAGAAGCATTTCTCACAAATCAAGGGCGATCGTGAATATTCACCCGAGGAGATCCACCATGTTCTGCAGTCCACCTTCAGGAAGCGCGGGGCGCCTGCCTACTCGACTTGTTGACAGAGAGCCTGTCGAAAGGTCAACCCCCACAGAGCTGTCGGGGAGCGGCGGTTACCCTGCTGCCGAAGAGGGGGGATCTGCGCCTCATTGAAAACTGGCAGCCCGTGTCCCTCTTGTGCGCCAATTACAAAATATTCTCCAAGGTGCTGGCCAACCGTCCCAAGATGGTGTTGAGTCAGCTGATCCAGCCTGAATAGTTATTGTATTGTTGCCCAGTGCATACATGATAACATCAATATGGTCAGAGATATAATTCCGCTTGCAGAAAGGCACGACATGAACTCAGGCCACCTCTTCTTGAATCAAGAGAAGGTCTTTGATAGAATGAGCCATGAGTTCCTGGGTAAACTGCTGGCATCAGTTGGCTTCGGTCAGGCATTTATCTCTAACAGGCTCCAGTACACAGGCACATCCAGTCTCATTAAAATTAACTACACGAGGCTGCCAAGTTATGACCAGAGCCTTTTGGACGCGTTGCGGAACTTTGATTGGAGCAGGGCGTGCATGCACTATGACCTCAAACATTCCTTAAATGAGCCCTTGTTCTACAATGGCCTCTCCACTTAGACGAGTGAAGGGCCACTCGTCAGCTGAGATCGCCAGCACTGCAGGACTCTGCTCCATGCTTCTTGCCGGGGAGAAGCTGCTGCGGGACGTGCCCAGAGCCATGCAAGAGGCGCTGGAGGACAGTGGCGGGCGCCTCTCCTTCTTCCCGGAGTTGCGCTTCTCCTGCCCTCAACCTCCTGGGCGCAATCACTCTGGGAAGCGATTGCAGCTCGGAGGCTGCAGGGACATGTGCCTGAAGAGCATCGTGAAGAAAGCGCTCTAAACGTGCCGCGTGAAGGTGCCGCGTTTTTAGGACGTGGCGAACCTACCAGACACAACATGGAGAGAAACATTATCTCCCATAATTAAGCCCCGTCCTCCCAGTGGCCGCAGATGTACAAGCCTCCCGAGGTGGCTCAGCCGAATCTCACCAGGGGCATCAGACTCTTGTACATTCTGATAAGAACCAGGGAAGATCTGCCCCACCAGTACTTGGGTGTCCGCGGCTCAACCCCAATGTTACGGTTTTTGTGGTCCATTTTCAGGAGACTGGAGGTGCCTTTTTACAAAAGCAGTTTCACATGAGGGGCGACTTACCTGCCAAATAAGCGCCATGATCTTGAAAACTCCATCTGTGCCCAAGCAAAGATGGCAGTTTACAAGACCAGGGAAAATATATTCTGCAAGGCGGCACTGACGGCTGCTCTGTGGTGCCAATGTTTAGAGGCCTGCTCAATGCATGGCTCCAGCTGGAGCACGCGTACCACTCCAATGCCGGGGACACCCACGTGTTTTTTGGATGGCGGTGAGCCGGTCAAGCCCTCTGCACCAGTGCAAACGTCATTCTAAATTTTACTTTTAATGAGCTTATTTGTTCCGCGTGGCGTGTGTAGCGACGTGCTATTTGTGTTGCGCGTGGCACGTGCAGCGCATGTGCCACGGGTAGTGTTTGTGACGTACACACGTGATGCTGTATTCGATAGGACTTGTATCGAAATCGGCTCCAATGCTTTTGCTGCTGGCAGCAATAAAAGTAGTTTAAACTCAAACTATCTCTCTCGCTTTCTCCTCTCTTGCTCTCCTCTCGCTGTCTCCTCTCTTTCGCTCTCGCTCTCTCTCGCTCTCTTGCTACCCTCCCCCGCGTCTGCCCGCGTCTCTCCCCCCGGGCGCTTCCTCTTTTATCCGCGTCTCCCGTCTCTCCGAGTGGAGGCTCAGATCGACGGGAATTGCGGGGAGTCAGGGGCAGAGCTGTGCGTGTGTCTGTGTGTCTGTCTCTCATCGCATCCCTCTCTGCGTTTGTGTCTCCCTGTCTGTCTCCGTGTCTGTTTGTCTTCCTGTGTCTCTGCGGCCCTCTCTCTCTACGTCTGTACGATTACTCGCGCATCCTCTGCACGCACAATATGAACTCAAGGTCACACGGAAGCTTCTGTTCCTAAAGCTCCGTGAAAGTCCGGCGCTGTGACACGAGCACCGCGCTATTATCCCCCCCCCCCCCGTCCCTCTCTCTCTCCCCACACCAACACGCGATTATCATCACACAGCATCATTCGTGTTCAAAACGCGAGAAGACGCAGGGTTTGGTCTGGGTAATTAGACAGCTGAATGGATCTCAGAAATAGTTACGTGATATCCACTTCGTTCTCGAGTAAAGCGACGATGCTCAGCTCTCCAATCAAGCACGGCGGGTTGTATGAATCCAACCAAACGTAAACTATTATTTAATTACAAATGTGATTTCGTAAACGATAATTCATCGGTGATGTCCTCAAATAGAGTCAAGGGCGTCCACCCAGGAGACGGAGTGATGAAACCAGCTCGTGTGCCGAGCAGGTGCTCAGTGGATTGTTGCACCGTAGGGGGTCGTAGGAAGTAGCGGGGAGGCCTTCTTTCAGCCGTGGAGTGACCGTGGCTCGCAGTGCTGATGACTACGGTAGTCGCCGCTGCTTCACGAACACAGCCAGAGGGCAGCGAACGATTCGTGATGAGCGAGTGACCGGCACTGCGCAAGCAGTCCTCATTCAACTCCACTCACATTCGTCAAGAACACCGACGTTTCGGGCAATGGCCCTTCGTGTATTTGCTATGAAGAAGGGGCCATTGCCCGATACGTCGCCCATTGCATGTTACCTTCTGAAGCCACACACACGGGGTGATGGCATTAACGATCGCGTTGGGTTTTTGTTTGTAGAGTGTGCGTGCGCACCAGCGTCACCAGACAGAAAAGCCGTGGTTAATTGTCGGCATTGGTGAGGAGTTCGTCTGGAAGCCGCGATTCACACCACGCACGCGACCATCACCTCGAGGACCGGTCCGGTTCACGCCACGAGCCAGGCTCCCCCCGCGGCGCCACCCCCGGCTCCTCCTCCATCCCGTCAGCTTCCGAGCGGCCCGTGGGTCAACCCCGTGGGTCAGTCGGTAAGGTGGCGAGTTCCCTGCTTGACCGGCAGTATAACTCGACCCCATCGTCCCTCCAGGGTCGATACAAATCGAGTGCCGCTTTTGCGAGGGAAGCCAACAGCGGTTGTCCTATGATGGAGAAACTCAACCCCGTTGTAGGAATGTGGAATTTCCACCGCAGTCTCTGCGCGGCGATATTTCCATGCGAATTTGAATATCAGGATATAACAGAGCACAGGGCACACGCACAGACCAAACGAAGATCTCCGAATAGCTCAACAGACTTTTGGGGCAAGTGCTGTCCACATGCACCTATGAAGGCTGGCAACGCACACGAGGGTGTGGGTGGCCATCACTACTCCCGATCACCTTTGTCTCGCCAGTGACGATGCCTAAACACTGCTGAATCAACCGAAGGGAGCGCCTAGGACCGGTTCAAATAATCGTCACTTGTGTTGTTGGCCGTGTGCGGGAATAGAAATCGGGTCGCCGGTTTCGTAGCGCAGCGCGCGAACCGCTATGAGAGAGACAGAGACAAATAAAACCCGTCTGGCCTTCAAAAGACTGTGGAAGCAAGTGCTGTTGGCAAGTGTCAAGGCCGCTACGGTACACAAAGGGGTATGTCGCTTAAACCTCGCCCGGCCGCCTTTGTATCCCCAATGCTGATATCTACACACCGCACCAGGTACTCATTTTAAGTATGAGTCGACCTAAGGGAGGATCCAGAAGCTGTTGAGATTCCGTCAGTGTCCGTAAGCAGGAATCGAACTGGGGTCGCCGAGTTCGGAGCGCAGCGTGCCAACCACGACATATCTACAAAGACAAAGATCCCCCGTATAGCCTTAACAGACTGTTGGGGCAAGTGCCGTTAGGGAGCACCTATGTATACAACGACACACACACACACACAGACACGAAACAAAGACACACACACAGCTACGTGTTACCTGGGCTAAGAGCCTCATCCATGTCGCCAGGTGGCCACGTGTCCGCAGTCCCAGGTCCCCCGGTCACCAGGTCCGCTCAGTGGTCCCGGGAGGCTGCGCTGCGCTGCGCTCACACCCAGTCCCGTATGGTCGCCTCCTCCTCCCCGTCATATCCTCGTCACCTCGCGGCCCAGAGCTTCACTGGCCCGTGCCTCGCTTCGATGACGCCCCCATGCACACACGCGTGTGCGTGCGCTATGCACGGTGCACCAAGAGACAAATAGTCCCCGTATAGCCTCAACAAACTGTTGGGGCAGGTGCTGCGAGCGAGAAGCACCTATGAAGGCCGGCACAGTACACGAGAGAGTGGGTGGTCAGGACCACGCCCGGCCGCCTTTGTTTCCCGAGTGGCGATGTTTACTATACACCGCACCAGGTACTCATTGGAAGCTAAGTCGATCTATGCACGGCGAATCACACACACACACACACGCGTGTGCGTGTGTGAGAGCGCTCTCCCATTAAACCAATAACTATAATCGGGCATCACACGCACACAGACACGTGCAGCATCACGCCCGGCCGCCTCTGTCTCCCCAGAACACACAAACACGCGCGAGCACAAAGACAAAGATCGCTCGTACAGCACACATGGGGCTGTTAGAGCAAGTGCTGTTAGCGAGCACCTATGAAGGCCGGAACGATGCACGTCTGACCGTCTTTGTACCACGCATGGCCATCGTTGTCTCCCCAGTACACACACACACATGCACGCACGAAAGTGCACATACAAGCGCCCCTTATGAATGCTACTGTTGTCGCTAATCTATAAGGCTGTACACAATATGTGTACCCCCCAACAAAGTGCCATGGACTCGTCCAATCAGTCGCATCACCCTATGATCCGGACCCGACCATTCGCACCTCCGTTTTGCGCGGAGGGGCAGTGCGATAGTCAGCTGTGCACGGCGTGCTAAGGGAGCGGTGACAGGGACGCGCGTGGCAGCTCAATACCTCCGTGTTCATAATCAAGCAATACGCATGATTACCATACCTATCCCTCGACATACAAAAATACAAAATGGGATGTGTAAATAAATTTGTCCTCTCCTGTGGAGGGGCAGATGTGCGACGGAGCCGAGTTCCCCAACAATGTTCGCTGCGTTCTCCACAAGGACGGCGATGGTGATATTGTGGGGGGTGCACGTGGTGTGGCCACGGCGGCTGGCGAGCCGATGCCACGCGCGCGTCTGTCTGTGTGTGGCCGTGACAGTCGCCCCCAGCAACAGCGAGGGGGCAGAGGAGCGACGCTTGCAACAACGAGCGGAGTGCCGGGGCGACTAAAACGCATAAAGTTGGCACAGTGGGGAGCGGAGGTGGTGCATCTCAGTCGGTCAACCCATGGCACCTGGGTCTGTTCCGTGGCCTCCTGCCAGCGGGCTTTCAACACTTTACGTGGGCTTTCAACACTTTATGTGGTCTCACAGTGGACCTAGCCTGGCACAAGCGCCGTTGTAACGTCACCGCCACTTCGTGGTAAACGACGGCTGTGGTATCGTCTGTGATACTACCCCACGTGGAGCCCATTTCACCGGTCTGGTGACCCCTCGGCAGAGCGAGCGGAAGGTTGCGAGTTCAAATCCTGGTTGGGCAGGCGGGGGGTGGTTGACTCAGCCCATCATCCCTCCCTCCAGGGTCGATAAAGTGGGAACACGAACCACTTTGTGTATAATCAATTGTGAATGTCCTATGGATTGATTACTCCGAGGCTGCCGAGTATCGCGCTACGCGTGGAGAGAGGAGAGCTGGGTTCACTTCAGCACCACGGACAGCACCTTATATTCACCACACTTGCTGAGTACAGGCCCAAAGTCCTAAAAAAAATACGAACCGGCCAGCAACAAACAGCACCATCAATAGTTGTAATTGCTCGGCGTCAACATGTTTCTTGATTTGAGCGGTGAGATTACAATTGACGAGCCCGGGAAAAGAGACGATGGTCATGAAGATAGGGGACGGGAATTCCAGAGTGGGTGAGTGGGTGGGTGAGTGGGTAAGCGGGAGGGGGGGGGGTGAGTGGATGAGTGGGTGAGTGTGTGAGTGGGTGGGTGAGTGGGTGAGTGGGTGTGTGGGCGGGGGGGGGGGGGTCAGTGAGTGAGTGGGTGGGTGGGTGGTTGCGTGAGTGGGTGGGTGAGAGGATAAGCGGGAGGGGGGGTGAGTGGGTGAGTGGGTGAGTGGGTGGGTGAGTGTGTGAGTGTGTGAATGGGTGGGTGGTGAGTGGGTGAGTGGGTGGGTGGGTGAGTGGGTGGGTGGGTGAGTGGGTGGGTGAGTGGGTGAGTGGGTGAGTGGGTGGGTGAGTGGGTGGGTGAGTGGGTGGGTGAGTGGGTGGTTGGGCGAGTGGCCGAGTGGTTGGGTCAGTGATTGAATGGGTGGGTGAGTGGGTGGGTGGTTGCGTGGGTGGGTGGTTGCGTGGGTGAGTTGTTCTGACTTCGTGTCTGTAGGTCACAACACCGTTGCCGAACAGTCTGGCGCAGGTGTTGGCAACCTGCGGCTCCGAAGCCGCATGCGGCTCTTTAACGACTGCTTCTTGACGTTATTTATTAAGGACCGTCTCGTGTTCACATGCATTGAACTTTTTACCGATTTCGGAAAGAAAAAAGGACTTTTGTTGTTATTTTGGTTGCTGACCCCTGGTCTGGTGGATGAGACGACACAGCGACGGCCTGGTAGAGCGGAGTCCTCAGCGTGGGTGGATGAATCAATGAGTGGAGTTCACAGGGACCACGGTGGTAGCGGCAGCAGCGATAGATGAGTGATAAGGATGCGACTGACCGCCGGGTGCAGGATATGCCTGTCAGTGGACTTTCCCTGGTAGGATGGGGATGGTTCAATTGTATTTATTTGTTTACTTTGCCTGTATTTTGCACGACTATCGTGTTTTGTATTGTTTGTTGTGACTTTCTTACCCGCCCCTGATATACATCTCTAGAAATAGTTTAAAAGTTAATCGCATTCCGCCAGTATAAATAAATATTCTTATTCTGAATCTGTCCTAAAATGTAGACGCCTCATGCTATAAGGCGATGGGTAGGAGTTGTATTAGGATCAGAGTTAGTAGTGCTGTTCAGTCTTAGGGGACTCTAGACAAAACCAATGCGATAATCCACTTACAAAGCAACCCTCGTACGTACAACAGTCCCCTCACGCGCGCCAAGTCATTGTGGCGGAATTTCCACTTTGCTGTGGCGGGATGAGTCTGACACCGGCTCTCATGCAAGACGCGAGATGGATTGCCATAGCAGGACTTATGAAACTTGTGATGATGTCTGGAGGGCCTTGATCCACCAGTGGAGAGAGGCCCTGTCTGACGATGCCGAATGTGACCCCATCCGCCGCTGTCCTGCCAGCAGCGTCAATGCGTCCGTGGCGGGTGGTCCGTGATGGGCAGGCAGGTCGCGTGCGGTGAGCTGGCGTGTGCGGACAGAAGAGCGAGATTGGCGAAGGCGAAAGGAGGAATGGCAGGATTCGATCACGTCTGGAGAAGGAAGAAAATCGGCCACAAGACCAAAGTGGACATGAGGAAAGCATGCGGGTTCAGGGACAACTTTGTGTGCCTGTGAGACTTGGACGTGAAAAGAAGACCGATCGGGATAAGCTACTGGCACTCTGAATGTGTTGCTACAGAGGATTCTGCAGCATCTAACTCGGACCCAAAGTGGAAGAAGACGACCGGGCAGTGATGAGAAGGACGGCACGATCTGGACACAAATGCAGTAGGATGGACAACAGGACATTTTAAAGTGTGTTGTTCGTAAAAATGGAAGGTTTGGCCAGCGTGGAAGAGTAGGCCAAATACCGAGAGGGAGTTCCCGGGAGGCTCTGGCAGTGGCGTCAGTCAGACACTGCAGCGCTGCGCCTCTTGCTTCAACCTCCAGACGAGATCTCGCGAGCGGCCGTGCTCTCGCGAGATCTCGCGAGATCTCGCGTTGCCATCACAGCGCGCGTTGCCCCGGCAACGACCATAGCGACTCCGAGCAGTCGCCACTGTCTCTAAAGGCGTCAAGCGAAGACTTTAATATCCACACGACGCGATGGTGAGTTTATCTCTAAGTACTTCACAACGCGACGCACATGCACGAGTAACAATCGGCTCGTGAAGTGTTCCCATTAGATTTTCGTTTAACGTGTTTAATGCAATTTGGGCCATTAGGCCTCAAAGCCTTGCGGATTTCCTGAACGCTCCGTCCCCGGTTACGGGCGCGTAAAGTTAAGCGGACGCCTCCTGTGTCCAGGGAAATATTAATAAAGTACAGTTTCATTTAATTGTAATATACGTTCTATAGCATCTCGGGTCAATGTTGCTGAAAGTATTGTGGCACTCAGTGGCACGAATATACTGTGTTCACAAGCGGAGTGATCAGCATCAGAATATTTATACTGGAGGAATCCGATGAGCTATGAAGCTCTTTTACAAATGCACCTTCTGACGGGACCCCGGCGTCTCATAAGCCCCCGGCTCTCGCATAAACTGCGTTGCGACGTCATTTAATGTCTGTCTGTTGAAGGCGAACGGTACGGCATCTATTACTCTCGACGAGCTCTCCACGATGCGCTAATCAAAGTTTCAAAGTTTAGTGTTTTTCTGCGCATTCGTCCTCGCTGCTGCACTTGAACGACATGACAACAGAATGATCCGCGCCAGGTGGGACGCGATTTTTACTTCCGTTTATTCGGAACCCCGGGGTCCTGCCATAAGGTTCAAATGTCCCGTTGGGACGTTACAACAACAAACAGTACAAAAACACGATAGATAGGAGTGCAACATTCTAATGATGCTAAACAATTTTTTTTTATTTTGCCAGGTAAAGCTCACTGAGATATTTGATTATTTTTCAGAAGCGACATGGCCACAAATGATAGCTCAACGAAGTGTGGGAATTTATAGCAGCAAATACTTTAAGTAATATAAACGCATCTTTCTAAATGTCGAGGGAAGAACCAGAGGACAGTTACTTTACTGGTAGTAGTGTTAACCAGTGGTCCGCCGGTGTCATTTGCGAACCTCTGCATCGGGCGCTACCCTGGGGCCATGTCACCGCCCAGTGCTGGACCGTCAAGAGAGGGCTCTGGTGGAGCGCCTCACCGTGATCTTAAAAATTGTGTTTTGTTATTTAGGAAAGGAAGTGAGATGTTAAAAATCGTCACACTCGCCGAGTACAGCTTGAGAGATGATGTACGAGCTGATTTCGAGAGTGAGATTTGCTGCCAGGAATGTTTTGCGTGTGGGGGGGGAGGGGGAACCCGAAGAAAGTCATCCATACGAGGGGATAACACGCAAAGGTCTGCACAGATTATGCAGGAACCCACTTTCTCATGGTCCACCTACCTCACAGGCCACCGATTTTGGGAGTCTTATAAATTTGTGTGAGCTACCAACCCTGAGTGTGATTCCCCACGTCCGGCTCATTCAACGTGTAAGTGTGGTGTTCGATGTTTGAATGTTGCTCGTGCCTGCGTGCCTTCTCGGCATCTCGCAGCCTCCCAAGGGAAAGAAGAAAGGAGGGAAGAAGAAAAAGGGCTCGGCCAAGGCGAAAAAAACCCCCACGGTGGTGGACGGGATCTCCACGGAGGAGATGAGCAAGGAGCAGGCGAGCAGCGGGGGACAGGGACACCCCACATCACGTAGCTGAGATATGATCGTGAATTCGTGATCATGAATTCAGTACATTTGGTACTTTTGCCATTCTTATAGCGCAAGGAAGGTGCTGCAGCATATCACATACATGGTCAGTGGTATGAGTTTTACAGTAGGGGTGATGTTCCTCCGTTTAAATCCCAATTTAGTAATTTGCGCGTACTTTTTAAGTAACAGAAATAACAACAGTATTATCTATATTCCATTTAAATGGAAATTATTCATTCTTAAACACAAAATTTAATAGGCTTATGTGGACATAATACAATTTAATCTAAAAATATATTGTTATATGCCAAGAAAGCTTCCGTGGTGTAATGGTTTAGCACACTGGACCTGGGAGGCAAAGGTCACCCATTCAAATCCATCTTCTGGCATAGAAGTTGAAACAATGGTGAAGTTTACTAAATTCCCCCCCACTGCCGCCACTGTCCACCCAGCAATATAATTAGGTACGCCGCAGTCTCACACTCGATTGGCAGGTAGCACATGGTGGGGGGTAAAGTGTGGGTTCGCCAACGACTTTCAACTTGAGAAAACACTTTAAGACGCCATGCATTCAGGGGGTCTCAGCTCCTGACATCGACCGATAAGCCTGTATTTGGGCCCTGTCCGATATGTGTCGAGCAATTTTTACCATCTTTTCTCACCCACTGCAGAGGTGAGTGGTGAAGAGTAGACCAAATACCCTCTCGAGTTCCCTCTTGTGAAGGCGCTTCCGTCAGTAGAGGCGTGAGCAAGCAATCGCAGGGCTGCATCTTCATCTTTTTGTTTACATGCCTAGCTAACAGGCTGCTGTGTTTAAAAAGCCAATTTTGCCCCCCTACTCTTGTGAATGACCACCATCTGCTCCGTCTCTGATGTTTGTAATTTTCTTTACACTCTTCCACACTGCCGATTCCCTCCCTCGCTTTGTGTACAGACTCAAGACCTTCCTTCTCTCTTCTGTCATTGACTATTTCTCCGAGAACACTCTCCAATTTCCCCACTACTTTGCCCTTCCACCTTCCCACTCTCCCCGTGGTTTCTGTTTCACGTTATTATTATTATTATGCATTACATAGTACATTGCTCCTTAGCACGGGGGCTCACCGTGTTTGAGATGGCTTCGATACCGCCACTCAATCTGCCCGGCTCATGTTTCCTGGCGACCTGAGCTCGAGTCCCGGTCACGACTAATATCAGTAGCGAGTGATATTTGAACCGTTCCTGTGCCCACCACCACACACATCACCCACTCACACTTACCAGCATGGTGAAGTTCAGTCAAACAACTCCCTTGAACTTAAGGTATAGGGATGCCTTTATCTTGCTTTGGTTGACATAGGGTGACAAAAGAAGCCTGGCTCACTGGGCATCCATATCTTTAAAGGTATACATTTGATAATAGGGTTTCCCCTTTTTTCTGGCAACAAAACAGGTGTTAAGATGTTAAAACACCAAACTGAAACCTTTTACTCTGTTTTTTGTTTGCATTCTGACCACAAGCATTGTGGTTAAAGCAGACATGATTCCTTGTAAAAGGTTTCAGTTTGGTGTTATAACATCTTAACATCTTAACACCTGTTTTGTTGCCAGAAAAAATGGGAAAACCCTATTATCACATTTTAGTACTGGCAAAGGAGGTTCCATGAGGTATACATGTATTTGCCACCCCTAAACTCAACTATCGATTTACTCCAACAATGCTCTTTGGTCCCAAAGTTGTAACCGTCCCGAGAATAAAAACCTGACCAGGCGCAACTCTCATTCAGGTACAGAACTGCTTCACACAGAACGATCACCCAGACTCGCCGCCCAATGCTTTGTCATGAATAGAGCGCCGTGGTGAATTGCCTTACAGTGATTTTGAAGTCGCTTTTTCTCAATAAGGAAAGTAAGTGAGAAAAGACACACTGAAAGGTCCACAAAGATCGGGCAGGAGCCATCTTGCTGTACTGCCATCTCGTGACAGTAGGGTGGCACAGTAGTAACATCTGTGCCTTACAGGAAAAAGTACCGAGGTTCGGTTCAAAACTCGGGTGCCTTTTTGCATAGAGTTTGAATGTTCCCCTGTTTCCCCATTGCGAAAAAAAATGTAACTGCTATTGGCCAAACATCCCATTAATTAAATAATAAGCCGCAAATTACACAGGTTCGAAACGTAATAACAGATAATGACCCCACCCACCTTGCAGGACACCAGTTTTTGAAGTTTAACAAAATTGTGTGAATCCACCGGCGCGCTCATGGTGTGTGTGGGGCGTGCGATGGCGCGCTTAACCGCAGCTGGAGGAGCACATTGTGCGCCTTCGCGAGGAGCTGGACCGTGAGCGCGAGGAGCGAAACTACTTCCAGCTGGAGCGCGACAAGATCCACACCTTCTGGGAGATCACGCGCAGGCAGCTTGACGAACGGCGTGCCGAGCTCCGCAACAAGGACCGAGAGATGGAAGACGCAGAGGAGAGACACCAGGTGGAGATCAAGGTGGGTGCTTCCCCGAGGATGGTCGGAGCTGCTACGGGACTGTGCGTGAACGGCAGCGGCGCGGGGTTTGAGAAGCGATGCAGTGAAACCACCGCGGCTAGCCAGACTAATAGGGCCAGCCCTGGTCTCCGTGAGCTGGAAAGTCCGCTTGCTGCAATTTAAATAACATCTACGGGAGTGAAGCAGGCGGCGCATAGTCAATTTTGGTTAATACACATGCAGTTTTCCTGTCATAACAGTATATGTGTATGTTTACATACACGAATACTTGAATACTTACCACGTAGAATTTTGCAGCCAATATTTTTGAGTCATTAAATATATATTTTTTGGGTTAGACCATGCAATGATCTGGTTACATTTTTGTCATGAAACCCTCCACCACCTGACATAGCCCAACACATGTAATTGTCATGTCTACAAGCATTTAACATGTTAATTATTGCTATTGCTAATTTCAACTGAGAAGATGGGTACAAACTGAGCAATCATTGGAAGGACGTTATTAACCAGTTTAAGTCATAGCTGGCTGTGATGTTCCCATCCTACCACCTTCCGATGTTAGTTGTTATTTTGGGCTCTCTGATGTTTTACATTAACAGATTTAATTTCTCACACTAACACAGCTACCTCACACGCCATCCTCGAGGTTGCTGCTCGGCGATCTTCCATTAACATGCCAATCTCTCACATTAACATGCCAATCTCTCACATTAACATGCTCATCTCTCATTAACATGCCAATCTCTCACATTAACATGCTCATCTCTCACATTAACATGCTAATCTCTCACATTAACATGCTCATCTCTCACATTAACACGCTCATCTCTCACATTAACATGCTAATCTCTCACATTAACATGCTAATCTCTCACATTAACATGCTCATCTCACATTAACATGCTCATCTCTCACATTAACATGCTAATCTCTCACATTAACATGCTCATCTCTCACATTAACATGCTCATCTCTCACATTAACATGCTCATCTCTCACATTAACATGCTCATCTCTCACATTAACATGCTAATCTCTCACATTAACATGCTCATCTCTCACATTAACACGCTCATCTCTCACATTAACATGCTCATCTCTCACATTAACATGCTCATCTCTTACATTAACATGCCAATCTCACATTAACATGCTAGTCTCTCACATTAACATGCTCATCTCTCACATTAACATGCTAATCTCTCACGTTAACATGCTAATCTCTCACATTAACATGCCAATCTCTCACATTAACATGCTCATCTCTCACATTAACACGCTCATCTCTCACATTAACATGCCAATCTCTCACATTAACATGCTCATCTCTCACATTAACATGCTGATCTCTTACATTAACATGCTAATCTCTCACATTAACATGCTAATCTCTCACATTAACATGCTCATCTCTCACATTAACACGCTAATCTCTCATTAACATGCTAATCTCTCACATTAACATGCTCATATCTCACATTAACACGCTAATCTCTCATTAACATGCTAATCTCTCACATTAACATGCTAATCTCTCACATTAACATGCTAATCTCTCACATTAACATGCTAATCTCTCACATTAACATGCTCATCTCTCACATTAACATGCTCATCTCTCACATTAACACGCTCATCTCTCACATTAACATGCTAATCTCTCACATTAACATGCTAATCTCTCACATTAACATGCTCATCTCACATTAACATGCTCATCTCTCACATTAACATGCTAATCTCTCACATTAACATGCTCATCTCTCACATTAACATGCTCATCTCTCACATTAACATGCTCATCTCTCACATTAACATGCTCATCTCACATTAACATGCTCATCTCTCACATTAACATGCCAATCTCTCATTAACATGCTAGTCTCTCACATTAACATGCTCATCTCTCACATTAACATGCTAATCTCTCACGTTAACATGCTAATCTCTCACATTAACATGCCAATCTCTCACATTAACATGCTCATCTCTCACATTAACATGCTCATCTCTTACATTAACATAGCCACCTTGGCACGCTCGCCATGGAGGATGTTTGGCGATCTCCCATTAACATGCTAATTTTTACCTGGCAGCCCTTTGATTAGTGGAAACCCACCACCGCCGCAGTCGCTTGCCCACCTCTTACATTAACATTGGCTGCTGACATTCAGGCTACGCCCATTTCAAACCTTTATAAACAGTTGTCGTTAGAAGCTAACCCCCCTTTTCCTGATGATGGCCGCTTGTGTTGCCATCGAATGTCGTAGTTTTTTTTGTTATGTTGTTATTTTCTTTGAACCTATCTACGTAACTTTACCAAAAGACCCAACGAATATGAATTCCTGCAGTCACGAAAGCTTTAAGTCAAGATTTATACAGATCTTAAAGTTCGCGTGTCGACTGTGCAGCAGCTTGGTGATCTGGCAGAGGGGAGAGAACGCGTTGGCAGCAAGGAGGCGAGGTGGTGGAAGTGTGATGGAGGAGGTGTGCTGGAGATGTGGTGGTGGAGGCGTGGTGGTGGAGGCATGATGGAGGAGGTGTGGTGGTGGAGGTGTGGTGGTGGAGGCGTGGTGGAGGAGGCGTGGTGGAGGAGGCGTGGTGGTGGAGGCGTGGTGGAGGTGTGATGGAGGAGGTGTGGTGGTGGAGGTGTGATGGAGGAGGTGTGGTGGTGGAGATGTGATGGAGGAAGTGTGATGGTGGAGGTGTGATGGAGGTGTCGTGATGGAAGAGGTGTGGTGGTGGAGGTGTGATGGTGGATGTGTGATGGAGGAGGTGTGGTGGAGGAGGTGTGGTGGTGGAGGTATGATGGAGTTGTTGTGATGGTGGGGGTGTGATGGAGGAGGTGTGATGGAGGTGTCGTGATGGAGGAGGTGTGGTGGTGTGGTGGTGGAGGTGTGATAGAGGAGGTGTGGTGGTGGAGGTGTGATGGAGAAGGTATGGTGGTGGCATCAATGTCTTTTGGCGCGATGACATCTGGATCTTGATCTTGTGCAGGTGTACAAGCAGAAGGTGAAGCACCTGCTCTACGAGCATCAGAACAAAGTGGCTGAGCTGCGCACCGAGGGCACGGTGGCTACAACGCTGGCACATCGCGAGCAGCGTGAGAAGGAGAGCGGCCTGCGCCAAGGCTTGCGCTCGCTGCTCGTCGATATGAAGGAGCACGAGCTGTCCAGCGAGGACGTCATCAGAAACCTCACGCTGGTGCGCTCACAGCCTGCGCACCCCCAACATCTGTTAGTCATCATTATCATCAACCGTGGTCTCTCCACTGCTCGATGAAGGCCTCCCCAAGCCACTGCCACCTGTGACGTTACTGCGACACAACAATCCATCCAGCACCTGTACATGAAAACAACCCCCTACCTCCTCGTGGTGCCGGACGGCAATGCTGTGGTGGGCAGTGCCATGGGGGGAGGGCCGAATTAAATTGTCCATTCCCCTCATGGCGTTTGTAACCACCACAGCGGCCAAATGGGGGCTCTGAACGAGTGTGAGGGCTGGTAAACCCTTCACCTTCAATTAACTACCACTAAACTACGATGTAAAAAACGTATTAAGCTTGTGCCGAAGGCCCGGGGGGACAGACGTCTATGACATCTCCTGGCCAAACCCCATTTGGTGGAGCCAGGAGACTAAATCCTTACCCTCGGGGCTCCTCCAGAAACAACAAAAAGCCACTTCGGATGGCCACGTGGAATGTTCGAATGCTTACTGCGGAGGAGAGGCTGCCACTCCTTTGTCAGGAGCTGGACCGGTACCGCCTGGATCTCTGTGGTATTCAGGAGGTCCGGTGAACCGGCTCTGGCTCCTGCCACCATGAGGGGTGGACAGTCCTCTACTCGGGGCAGGAGACTTGCCAAACAACAGGGAGTGGCTCTTCTCTGAACAAAAGAATAAAGGGGGTGTAGGAGTGTGGCGGTGAGGTGTGGGAAGCTGTAAGCCCCAGGCTACTTTGGGCTTGCCTTCCCATCAACCAGAGGCGAGGAGTGGTGTCGTGGTTACTTATGCCCTGACCGAAGACAAACATCCATGGAGGGATGCAGGCAAGGCCTTCTATGACCTCCTGTCACAGGTGCTGGCTAAAGTGACCCCTCGGGATAGAGTAATCTTGTTGGGTGACTTGAATGCCCGAGTTGGTCATGATGCGAGCACCTGGTCTGGAGTGATTGGAAGACATGGGCCAGATCAGCTCAATAACAATGGTAGGAGACTGCTAGATTTTTGTGCAGCCCATGGGCTTGTAATTACCAACACGCTGTTCTGGCATCGGCACATCCACACAACATCATGGATGCATTCCGGGATCCAAGCAAGAATATCTGCTAGACTACATAGTGACGGAACAGCGGATGTGGGCCCATGTCCTTGACACCAGGACCTACAGTGGAGCTGATCTGTCCACTGACCATAGACTTTTCATCTGTAAGATGTGCCTACCATTCTTCGACTCCGGTGGTGAGTGTACACCCAGGACCCAATTCAAACCCATAGTGGCATGGTCTCAGCTCACTGATAAAAGTTGCAAGCGAGAATTTCATCATCGCTTGCAGCTGGGGTTGCAATCGTCCCCCACTCCTCCTGATGTCGAGGGGAAATGGGCGAGGTTTAGGACTGTGGCTCATGCAGCTGCAATGGCTGCTTTGGGCACACGGTTCAGACCTCCTCAGAGACCCTGGCTGACAGAAGAGGTGTTCAGGCTGGCTGAGAAAAAGCGACAAGCCCACTCTCATTGTCTACAGCATCCCACATCAAAGAATGAGGAGGCTTACCACAGCCTTCGCTCAGAGGTTCAGAGAGCCGTGAGACACTGTAAGGATGGTTGGTGGATGCAGGTTGCTGAGGAGATCGAGTCTGCCTCAATGGCCCGCAATCACAAATCACTCTTTAATTCCATAAAAAAGTAACCTGCAGCGCCACATCTATTACCATCATTAGGTGAAAAAATGGTGATCCAATCTCCGACCCCCAGGAACAGGGGGAGGGGAAATCCCTCAGCCTGGAAAACATTGTGGGACAAAGTGGGGATGACCCTGCTGAGGCTGCGGTGCCTCAAATATTGGAAGATGAAGTCACCCCCTGTGAGTTGCTGCCCGAGGTGCCATCTGCTGAGGAAGTACTGAAGGCGATTCAGAGCCTGAGACCAGGAAAGGCAGAGATTATGTCCCAAGCAAAATGCTGTTGGAGGGTGACGTTTGTGCACAGCCTGGCCTACATGACATAACAACAGTCTGGACCACTGGACGGGTTCCGCAGGATTGGAAGGATGCCCTGGTGGTCCCGCTCTTTAGTTGTTACAGACTGTAACAACAGACTGTAACAACTACAGGGGCATCTCACTCCTCAGTGTGCCGGTAAAGGTCCTGGCAAGGATTATTCAACATCACCTTGCCAGGCACGCTGAGGAGAGGCTTGCGAAGCCCCAATTTGGTTTCAGGAAAGGGTGGTCCTGCACAGATGCCATATTTTCTGTCCGTCTGCTACAGCAGAGGTGTAGGGAATTCCAACAAGACCTACATCTCTGCTTTATTGACCTGGTCAAAGCCTATGATACCATCAGTAGGCCTGGGCTCTGGGTTATTCTTCGTGTTTTCGGAGTCCCTGACCCGCTACTCACGATCATTAAGGACCTTCATGATGGTGAGCAGGCCCGGGTAAAACTGCGTGGCCGGGATCCTTGTTCACCTTGGGGTGTGACAGGGATGTCCTCTGGCTCCCACATTATTTACCATCTATTTCGATCATGTAGCTCGTGAAGCCTTCAATAGCTGTACCGGAGGAATTTCCATCTGGTACAGATACAATGGGAGGCTGATCGATGCCCGGGTGCGGTCAAGGCATGGCTCCCTATTGCTCAACCATGTTATGTATGCCGATGATCTGGTAATTGCTGCTCACTCAGAGGAGGAGTTGGAGGTGCTGCTGCTGAACCTGGAGCTTGCCACTAAGAGGTGGGGACTTACCATGAGCCCTACCAAAACTAAGCACCTGCCTGGTTATTTTGTACCATCGGACACTCCACCCCCACAACTCCCAATTGGTGATAGGGCAGTTGTGGAAAGAGTGGAGAGTTTCCCATACCTAGGCAGTGTGCTCATGATCGGCTCCGGTTTGACAGCAGAGGTTTCACTCCGAATCAGTCGAGTGGCATTATCTTTTCATCGGTTGCATAACGCTGTGTGGAAACTACCTGGTCTGCGAATCCACATGAAGCTTTAGGTCTTCTCCGCCACAGTCATTCCCTCCCTTCTCTACGCTTGCGAAATGTGGACCCCCCCTAATGGAACATCTTCGCCGGTTAGAAACATTTAGGCTAGCCTCCCTATGATACATCCTGGCCTTAACCAGGCTGTATTGTGTGAGGAGCTCACATATCCTTGAAAGATCCGGACAAAGCCCCATCGGTGAGCTCCTCCGGCAGGCAAGGCTGCGTTGGCTGGGTCATGTAGCCCGCATGCCCAGCCACCGCATGCCTAAACAGCTTTTGTTCGGCCAGATCGAGGGGGCTAAACGGGCGCGGCACAGGCTAGAGAAGAGATGGAGTCCAGGAGAATGTGGAGCTGAGTGGACTTGCCGATGACTGGTACGAGTGGTGTCAAGATCGGCCTCTGTGGAGGAGGCTCGTGAAGGACGTTATTTGGCAGTTGGAGGTAGTCGCCCTCCCAACAACAATGGAGGGGGTAGGAGCGATGCTCACAACAACGAGCGGAGTGCCGGGTGGCTAAAGCACAGCAAGTCGGCATAGTGGGCACAGGTGGTGCATCAGCCAGTCATCTCAGTCGACCCGTGGCACCTGGGTCTGCCCCGTGACCTCCAGCCAGTGGGTGTTCGACACTTCACGTGGCCTCCACATGCGCATAGCTTGGCACAAGCGTCGTGGTGACGCCACCGCCACTTAGTGGCGAATGGCGTTTGTTGTTGTGTCTTTGTCTCAGTGTCTGTCTGTGTCTCTATGTCTGTCTTGCCACATCCTTCCACTTCATTAGAAGAAGAGTAGGCCATTGCGTGCCAGTATCATGGTAATTTTTTTTTTAATCAAATTAATTAACTGGGAAAAACGTAGAAAATCGCCGTCCTCGCCTGTGAAACCTTAGCAGGACCCTCCTGAAAATAATGTTTGAAACAGTTGGAATAATAATACAAAAATTATCACACCACGAGGAGGTTTATTCATTCCCTCTTACAGAAAAATGTTTTTCACATGGCAAGCAATCTGATACATTTAATTCTAAAAGATGAAATTTGAGCCAAAGTAAGTGATCAAAATCAAGCAAAAATGTACAAACCGTTCATCAACGTGAGAGACAAAATGTTTATATGGCTCTTGATGCCATTGCTGTTGAGTGTATAAAGCTCTTCACTTAGCCATTATGGTGAATGTTAACACATCTGATCAGCATGGAATAGTGGATAAAACACCCTCTAGAGTTTGCCCTCAGGTAAGCCCTTCCACCAGCAGTGGCACGAGCAAGCAACATCAGGGCTGCAGTTTTGCTTTGCAACGTCTTATGGTATTGTGTCTTGTTGGGGAAATTCATGTGTGGGGATGTGGTCTGCGTTTTCCCTTTTCAGAAAAACGATGAAATGATAACTAAGCTGCGGGATGATTTCGAAACACAAGTTCGAGGTACCAAAAATAAAACCCCCACAAAAGTACCCGGCCCCCCCACCGCACGCCACGTGGACAGCGTTTTTTGTGAGCATGCCTGCTCCCTGCCGCTACTTCCACGCCACTCTGTGCGTGGGCTGCGCCATGCGCTGGCCGTAAATGTGTCCGTCTTGTGCGCATGACGCGAGGCGTTGGAGGGAAGCATGGAAACTAGATTGATAGGCGTTCCACAACATACCACGGCGGATGGTGAAGTCGTTTTATCATCGTTCACCATTCTGCAAGAATGTGTCTTATTCCCTGCCCTTTGTGTAGGAAACTAAACCCATAGTGTTAAAAAAAACTCAACAGAGTTGAAGTTCTTTCTATAATGAGTATTTAGGCTGTGCTCATCTGTTTACAGCGCTGAGCCAGTGGTGGAGATCCATATTCATATCGCGGGGCAAGTCTCTCCATATTACAACCAACTGTTGACTCACCTACAAAGCGGTGCTCATCAACCACTGGGGGATGATGGGCAGAGTTAACCCCCCACTCCACAACCAAGATTTGAGCTTGGAACCTTCTTGATTGCGAGCCGCTTATCGTGTTTTATTGCTGTGCCTACGACTGTGCATTCATGTGCACGTAATGCACAAGCCGCCACGAGCGTGACGTCGCGTATGCGTTTGACCGGTCGGGCAAGATGTGTTGGCTCCGTCTGTGAACTCCGGCTTTGTTTGTTCGTGTTGGCAGGGTTGCCGCCTACTGTGGTTTTCCCACAGATTAACCGCGTTACATAAGAAATCTAAAACGGCGCAGAAATATAAATCGATATTATAATGAAAATTTGTTTACAATTTTAGACAAATTACTGGCAGATAACCGCTCATAGTAAAACAGAAACATCAGAATGGAATTAGGGTGATTATTGCACTCGTCTAGCATATTATCACTCTTTAACAACAACAACAAAATCCAGAAAAACGCATGTCAAAAACTTTATAGATTGATTTGCATTTTAATGAGCGAAATAAGTATTTGACCCTCTCTCAATCAGAAAGATTTCTGGCTCCCAGGTGTCTTTTATACAGGTAACGAGCTGAGATTAGGAGCACACTCTTAAAGGGAGTGCTTTGTTACCTGTATAAAAGACACCTGTTCACAGAAGCAATCAATCAATCAGATTCCAAACTCTCCACCATGGCCACGACCAAAGAGCTCTCCAAGGGTGTCAGGGACAAGATTGTAGACCTGTACAAGGCTGGAATGGGCTACAAGATCATCGCCAAGCAGCTTGGTGAGAAGGTGACAACAGTTGGTGCGATTATTCGCAAATGGAAGAAACACAAAAGAACTGTCAATCTCCCTCGGCCTGGGGCTCCATGCAAGATCTCACCTCGTGGAGTTGCAATGATCATGAGAACGGTGAGGAATCAGCCCAGAACTACACGGGAGGATCTTGTCAATGATCTCAAAGCAACTGGGACCATAGTCACCAAGAAAACAGTTGGTAACACACTACGCCGTGAAGGACTGAAAAGCTGCAGCGCCCGCAAGGTCCCCCTGCTCAAGAAAGCACATATACATGCCCGTCTGAAGTTTTCCAATGAACATCTGAATGATTCAGAGGACAACTGGGTGAAAGTGTTGTGGTCAGATGAGACCAAAATGGAGCTCTTTGGCATCAATTCAACTCGCCGTGTTTGGAGGAGGAATGCTGCCTATGACCCCAAGAACACCATCCCCACCGTCAAACATGGAGGTGGAAACATAATGCTTTGGGGGTGTTTTTCTGCTAAGTGGGACAGGACAACTTCACCGCATCAAAGGGACGATGGACGGGGCCATGTACCGTCAAATCTTGGGTGAGAACCTCCTTCCCTCAGCCAGGGCATTGAAAATGGGTCGTGGATGGGTATTCCAGCATGACAATGACCCAAAACACACGGCCAAGGCAACAAAGAAGTGGCTCAAGAAGAAGCACATTAAGGTCCTGGAGTGGCCTAGCCAGTCTCCAGACCTTAATCCCATAGAAAATCTGTGGAGGGAGCTGAAGGTTCGAGTTGCCAAACGTCAGCCTCGAAACCTTAATGACTTGGAGAAGATCTGCAAAGAGGAGTGGGACAAATTCCCTCCTGAGATGTGTGCAAACCTGGTGGCCAACTACAAGAAACGTCTGACCTCTGTGATTGCCAACCAGGGTTGCGATTTCCGCATGGAAAATGCGGAAGGAGGGTTCAAATTTTCCCGCATTTTTGCTAAAGTCAACCGCAAACGGTGGAAAGACTACTCCTATGACCGCGCGCTTTTAACAACACGTTAATGCGTTCTATTGGAAAGGATACATCATGTACATGTGCTCGTAATCACGGCTCCGCTTTTGAATAAAGTATGTGGTTCTTGTGCGGAAATGCGGAAATCATATATTCATTCCAATCAGTAACTCAAAGCCCTACGTGATGCTGGGCCTTGCATGTATCCTTTCCAATAGAACGCATTACCGTGTTGTTAAAAGCGCGCGGTCATAGGAGTAGTCTTTCCACCGTTTGCGGTTGACTTTAGCAAAAATGCGGGAAAATTTGAACCCTCCTTCCGCATTTTCCATGCGGAAATCGCAACCCTGTTGCCAACAAGGGTTTTGCCACCAAGTACTAAGTCATGTTTTGCAGAGGGGTCATACTTATTTCCCTCATTAAAATGCAAATCAATGTATAACATTTTTGACATGCGTTTTTCTGGATTGTTTTGTTGTTATTCTGTCTCTCACTGTTCAAATACACCTACCATTAAAAGTATAGACTGATCATTTCTCTGTCAGTGGGCAAACGTACAAAATCAGCAGGGGATGAAATACTTGTTTCTCTCACTGTAAGGGTGTGGGTGGCCAGCACCAAGCCCCACCACCTTTCTCTCCTAGTAGTAATGTTTACACTCCGCACCAGGTACTCATTTGAGGTTGTGTCGACCTAGGGGAGGCCCACGACAGGTTCAGATAATCGTCACTGTTGTTGGCCATGAGCGGGAATCGAACTCGAGTCGCCGGGTTCATAGTATAGCGCGCTATTCACTGCACTACCATTCTCCACTTCTACATTTACCCACAAACACTCACCCACACACCCAGCCACTCTCTCACTGACACACCCACTTGCTCACCACGCTGCATGTCACTCCACTTCTCTTTGTACTTCTTACCTCATACTGCTATACTTCTTCCCTCCCATCGTCCCTTTTTCCTAAAGCTTTTTCAATAACTCTTTGGTTCTTTCGGTAAAGTCACGTATAAAGATAAAATAATAAAATAAATAATAGCATACGACGTTTAGATTGCAACACAAGCAATCATCATCAGGTATAAATGAAATAGCAACAAAAATCTAACCAGAAAACTATAGACAGACATATAAGCAGACAGATATCACCAAGATGCTATATACCCTGCTCAATTCAATAAATGTGTTATCTACTCTTATCTATCTCTTATCTATTACAACTCTCATAGTGCTGTGTGTTGTTGGCCACCTGACGTTTTGAGCTTTCAGGTATGTGCTTAACACCTGTGTTAAAATAAATATATGCATATATCTATCACTTATGTAGTGAGTTCAACTTAGTCGTAGACGTACTCTTGGAGGCAACACTTTTATTAACACCAACACAAGGGGTAACTGCCCCTGAACAGAATAACAACCTATGGTGGTGATCACCAGGCTAACTACACTAATAACACCGTAACTAGCTACAACGGACCGGACCACAGCTTGAGTCCAGGTCCACGTGTTGGAGACTCTGTAGGATGCAGAAGAAGGTTTCTTCAGGATGAACAACAGCGCCAGTCCCTCTGGGGGACCCGGCTTATATTCTCTGTGGCGTGGCTGGCTCCGCCCTTGGCCACGACCACCTTCCAGAATCCTCGAGCAGGATCTCGACCCTGACACATGATCACCCCTAAGCCCCCACTTGGGGCCCCTGTGTAGACTTAACCGGTCACGTGTCCTCTGGGGTCAACCAGAGTGCCACGGCCCTTAGTAACCCCATTTCCATGGCCGGCACTCCCACACCCTATCATGTAGGGGCCGGCACTGTACGCCAAGCGTGGTGCCATCCAGCGCTATTTATCAGCGCTCACCGAGCCCCTCTAGGGCCGGTACTGCACCCATATCCTAGAGGTGTCCGCGATGTCGTTACACCGCACGCCGTGCCAGGCTAGGACCGGCATTACCAGTGACATCCCGCGATGTCACTACACTTAGAAGAGAGTCTAGGGAATGGCATCTGTAGTCGGGTGGCAGGAATTGATCTGTGCCGAGATCTGGCACCGGTATTGTGTTGAACTTTATTACAATAGACTGCACAGCTCCGATAGACCTAGGGCCCTACTGAGAAATCTGTCTACATTTGGTCTACAGTGGAAAAGGTAGCAACCCTAGCACGTGCGGGTAAGCGAGTTCACCCATCCGTGTTTCCTGCAGAGATGGAGGCCAAGTATGAGAAGAAGATGCGAGCGTTGCGCGACGAACTGGACCTCCGCCGGAAGACGGAGATTCATGAGGTGGAGGAGCGGAAGAACGGGCAGATCAACGCCCTCATGCGCAACCACGAGAAGGCGTTCAGTGACATCAAGAACTACTATAACGACATCACGCTGAACAACCTGGCGCTCATCAACTCGCTCAAGGTGAGCTGCGCGCACCGCACGCTAAGATAAGATGCAAACAGATTTTAAATGATGAATAGGTTCATTTGACTAACAATATTATAAGCGATCTATGCTTTGGGGTCGTTGCAACAGGGGAAGCATTACGCTTTAAAGCTTCTATACATCTCCCACCAATATAAGTATATCTATTAAATATTAAAATCTCTCCTCTGCGATGCTACAATCCACCTAGCAGCTACACAATGAGCACAATGGGAAGGAAATTAACAACGATTGTCATTTCGAGAGAGAGCCCCTGCCATAGTCACACAAAATTTCGACCGCTGGCTTTAAAGAGCTGTAAACGGAAAATGAGCACTTCCTCAGTGCTCATTTATAGAGGAAATTGTTTTGACTGCCGAGTATTTAAATTAACCAGGAAAGCCTCGCTTATATTACCGAGTCGGCACTTTTTACCTTGACACCCTAATTTAGGCACAATCCCCCCCACCAACCTACTGCTGTCTCCAGGCCTGCTGCTGCTGGTGCCATTGGAAATATTCAGGGAGAATCAAGCCCCTAAAACACAACAAAAGCAGCCATTTGCCACTAAGTTGCAATAACATCACCACAGTGCTTGTGCAAGGCTAGGTGCACTTTGAAGCGATCCCGTGAAGTGTGGAAGGTTCACTGGCAGCAGATCAAGGGACAGTCTCAGGTTCTATGGGTTGACTGACCGAGATGATCGGCACATGCGCCACCTGTGCCCCCTACTGTGCCAACTTGCTGCATCCTAGCCACCCGGCGTGCCGCTCATTGTTGTAAGCGTCGCTCCTCTGCCTTTCGTTATTGCTGGAGGGCGTCTGCCTCCGACTGCCCAGTAGTATCCTTTATAAGTCTCCTCCTCCACAGAAGTCAATCTAAACACCGCTGGTACCGGTCGTCGGCAAACCCTTCGCGCGTACGCACACGCACGCACACGCACGCACACGCACGCACACATCTCAAGCACGTATGTATGCACGCTCACGTAGGAGCAAGTGGAGGACATGAAGAAGAAGGAGGAGCGTCTGGAGAAGGAGATGGCAGAGACGGCGCAGCAGAACAAGCGTCTGACGGAGCCTCTACAGAGGGCGCGAGAGGAGGTCGCCGAGCTTAACCGGCAGCTCGCCAACTACACCAAGGACAAGACGCTGCTCGCGGTGAGCCCCCCTTGTATTCAGAGACAAAGGTCCTCTGTGTAGCCCATGCAGGCTGTTGGGGCAAGTGCCGTTATCGAGGACCTATGAAGGCTGGCACGGCGCACCTACGAGGGGGCGGTGGGGGCAGCGTCATTCCTGCCCAGTCACCTTCATCTTCCTCCCCAAGGCTGATGTTTACATACTAAACCAGGTACCCATTTAAGGCTGAGTTGACCTAGGAGAAACTCACCACCGGTTCAAATTTTCGTCACTGATGTTGGTCGTGAGTGGTAATTGAGCTCAGGTCACCAGGTTCCCAAAAGAAGATAACCTCACTGGGAATCCGTCCTCTCGACACGTGTATATCAACATGCCGCTCCCTTTCCTCACATCGACAACTATCGTGTTATTCCAACAATATCTCTGCCCTTTGTGGTCATAAAATCATAATTATTTAACTCAAGTATTCATGTGTTTGACTGGCTGTGATGTTCATTATATAAATTCACAGTGTATAAGTTTTAAATTGCATAGTATAAATACATGTTTTCTATGTGTGCGTCAATTGACAATTTGAATGCTCTTACAAATAGCTTTTAGGATTTTTCCATGTTAAATATTTGAATAAAATGCCACCTCTCCTGACCTCCTTATCCTGACTAAACTTTGCAGAGTGCGAAGGCCAGACTGAAGGTGATGGACCAGGAGATGCAGGAGTTGAAGTGGGAGCACGAGGTGCTGATTCAGCGCTTTGCCAAGGTGAGCTCTCACACTCAGCTAAATAAACGGAAAAATAAAATAAATTGTAAGAAAACATTGACTTAAAGCTTTTGTGACTGCAGGAATTCATACTCTTTGGGTCTTTCGGTAAAGTCACGTAGATAAACTCGTCTACAAACGAAGCTGTGCCTGCGGCAGTAGTTACATTGGGGAAACTAAGTGACATGTCTCAGACCGTGTTCGCGAACACAAGGCAGATCTGAAACACGGTAGGACCAACACCTCTGCCATGGCTGATCATTGTTTTAACGCTGTGGGCACACATGAAATTAATTTCTCCAAGACGAAGGTACTATGCAAACCCACTGGCTATCAACAAAGATTTGGTCATGAAGCCATCCAGATATATAAACATAAACACAATTTCAACAGAGAAGATCGGTACAAACTGAGCAATCATTGGAAGGACGTTATTAATCAGGTAAAGTCATAACTGGCTGTGATGCTTCCATTCTACCTGCCTGTGTTAGCAGTTATTTCCGACTCTCTGAGTTACATTACCTTGTTAAATGTCTTCACATTAACAGGCTAAATGTCTCACTAACATAGCTGTTGCTCCCTTTTCCTCGATGCGGCGGTGGCGCTCGTTGTTTAATAGGCTGAATGTCTCTCATTAACACAGCCGCTGCTCGGGAGCCGTCTCACATCAAACATGCTAATCTCTAATCTCGAGCAATGCAATGGCTTCTTCAGCACCGTAGCCGTGGGGTTACATTAACAGATTGACATGCTCATCTCTAGCAACACAATAGCCGAGGTATACCTAGCTCTGCGATCTTACATTTCCTTGCAAATTCCATCTCTAGCCCCACCCACTTACCCTTGGGTTGTACCCATCTAAAACCTTTATAACCTTTGGCTGCAGTAGCTCTCTCGCTATATTTCTTCCTGCCTCAGCAGTCCGCCTGCTGTATTTTTTCACCTAAAGACGATTGCTTGTGTTGCGATCGAAACGTCATGATTTTTTACAATTTTATTATTTTTCTATCTACGTGACTTTACCGAAAGACCCAAAGAGTATGTAAGGAAACAGTTGCCGGTTTTGCCGCACACGTAGACACTTCGAGAGCGATACACACAACGTGTTTGGCTTTTTAACTGAGAAACGATGAGAGCTGCCACCGTGGTGTAGTGGTTACTAGCATGCTGGACTTGCCATGCAAATGTCCCCAGATAGATTCCAGTTCTCAGCGCGGCAGTTGAAACGATGGTGCAAGTTTCTCAAATCCCTCTCTGCCCTCCTCTGTCCACCCAGCAGAAGGGGCCTGTGCTCAGCAACTGTGTTAAAAAATTATATTACTGACTCTTTGCTAAACCAAGCATCTGACCAGTCAACGTAATTTTCAATTGTCATCATGGATTTTCTCTGTGTACTCAAAATACTAATTGAGGAATTGGCCAAACATCTTTCAATAGAAAGAATATTCTGACAGACCTGTTCTTCACCTGAGGACGACTGCTTGCGTTGTGGCTGAAACGTCGTGAGAATTATTTGATTATGTTTTATTTTTATTATTTTATTATTTCCCTTCTACGTGACTTTACCGAAAGAACCAAGAAAAGTCAATATGTAGTTCTGTAGTGTCATCTTCCACGGATGTTCTTTGATGCAGGGTTGTACACCGCTGGTGGTGAAAGTTCTGACCAGGAATTATTTGAATTATTTGCATCATTATGGTGACAGTGCAATTTCTGCATAATTTGGAAGACTTACACGAATTTTACATCAGATGTTCTACCGGCGCAAATTTCCCATTTAAATGAGACAATAGTTTATCTCGCCACCCCTTCCGCGGATTATCTGTCCCCCCCTCATCAACCAGGATGCGTTGGGTACATGCGCCTGGTGGATATTCGTGCGTGCGGTTGGTTTTTTTGCCCAACGTTCTGCAGTGGGCCTTTGTTCTTGTGTACAGCAAAAATATAATAAAAATATACGTTTTAAAACATCAGCTGCTGCTGCCAATAGCACAACGCTAATTCCCAGCGTGTGCCGACGACTCCTTCTCGTGTTTGTACGGGGGCTCACCTTTACGAGCACCATCACGAGCACCCGCGGTATGGACCAACAGATGCCCGGTCCTCATGCACGAATGCCTCCAACTTCGGTTGGACGGAGTTAAGCAAGAATAGATTATTGAATGGAATCATGACCCTGAATTTTGACAGTGAATGTTTGCATGCCCTGCTAGATACATAGCACACGATAAGAGCTGTTTGCTTTTTGGGTTGGAGCTTCCTCTAACCACACGAGGTGGTGACCTTTTGTATGGAGAAACAATGTTTGTGGTTAATAGTACACATTAAAACAAATAGTATCGGGCGGTGGTGGAGAGAGAGAATGGGAGAGGGGTAAGGAGACTATACGGGATAAGGTTGGGGGTGAGTGAGAGATTTTCCACTAATTATTATTTTGTGTTGTGTATTATATCAGATTGCATCAAGCTATAACCCATAACTAATAGGGATCTTGCCTATCAACATCTAGCAGTTCACCTGCAGCATTGCTTCAAACAAAGCCTGACTGCTAATGAGACACTGAATGTCGAAACCAGTCCAAAGTTTTGTTTGTAATAAACCAAGGCCACTGAAAGGATGTACGCCCCTCGTGGCCGATGGAATGTGAAGGAAATGCTTTCATATTTTTATGTGGAGGGACAGATATGAGAAGGTGAAGTATTGTTTGCTCATATATTTTGTTGAAATGTTATTTAATAATTCACGCAATATATTGAAATTGCAATAATTCAATATATTGCATTAAGCATTTATCAGATGGCAGAAGAGCTTCCACAACACGACAAAGCCAGACGATGACAATACCAGACTACACGTGAACCTCAGAACATCGGAGGCTATTGTTCGGGTGAGCTGTGTTGCCCCATCCAGTGCATAACCTAGATTTGGAACTCTCATCTCTCATTATCAATGATGAATACATCCATTTCCAAAAGTACAATCAATAAAATGTATTGAATTTGCTGTCCTTCCCCCACACCTCCAATTAGCATGGTTGGCGACGTATGGTGCGAAATAAGTTCAACATACTTACGTAGTAGTTAAGCCAAAATTAATTTAAATTCAAGCAAAGTTAAAGTTCTTGGTCATCTGTCAATTATTTTATTCTTTTAATTTTTAAAAGAATGCAGATTTTAATTCCTATTTTAATTTCTTCAGCCCTGTGAAATGCAATAATGCCTGACACGTCATGTGGAAACGAATCGTCGATGCCCTAGGTGGGCGGCACTGGTGTTGTAACGACTCCTTTGTACACGACGCTGTTGTAATGTGCGGAAAGATGCTGGTGAATCTCTTAATTCTGACAGGATGTTGGCCCTGGTATCCACGCTGGTGCAAGGGCATAGATAAGGGTGGCGATTATGCGATGGCCAGGTGGCGCAAAGGTCAGAGCACTGGGCCAGCCACACGACACGCTCGGTCATGGGTGTAAATTCGGAAATGAAACTGTGTTTCTGGGTTTGGATGTCAGCCCGGACATCAATCGCTGAACAAAAAGATAATTATATTCATAGAGGTTTTCACCTTCATTTGGCTTATTCCAGTTGTGAGACTTGAATAGTTTGGTTATCGGCAATGCATGCAGGGCATGTACAGGTCGTGCCTCTAGTGAATTCAAGTGGATTCACAAGTAGTGCTGCATCATCATATTGTGTTGTCGTTCTGGAGACTGGGAGATCGATGATATTTGTTGTCACCAGATTGATAGCATTCGTCGTGATTTCTCACTTAACAGTGAGCCACGTGAAGGCTGAAGAGTTTAATTTTCCATTTGTGCATCAGATGTGGATACCTGATGCACAAATGGATATTAAAAACTCTCCAGTAGTATGTAACTTGTCAGAACAACGTATAACGACGCAATGCCCCGAACCACAAATACAAAGGAGACATCATTACAGCGATGATACACTCCGCTGCTCCTGATACGGTAATCTGACTTGACCAGTTTTAAAAAAAACTGGTGCAGAAAAAAAATAGAGCCACTAATCTCGGGGTAACTCGTGGAGCTATTCTGTGTGTGAAGTTGTCCTGCCCCTTGATAAAATAACGAAACAGCCAATTTGCCCCTTCCTATATCAGTCCCTCTTTTACCCTTCTGGAAATGCATAATAGCAGCATTGATTCAACACAAGCAAAACTCTGGACCGTTTTCCGCATTCAGTGTCTCATCAGTCTGGCTCGCTTGAACCAATACTGGTGAACTGCCTGATGTTTATATGCAAGATCCTTATTAGTTATGGGTCCTAGTTTGACACGAAACCCTACAATGCAAAACGCAAAATAATCATGATCGTCGTTGTCCAGAATATAACAAATTAAATTATTTTATTGTTTATGCGGATGGACCGATATGTGAAGGAGGCGCATTGTATGGTGTTTATTTTGTTACTTACAGTCTCTACGATGCCGCAACCACCAGTCATGACCTTTAATGGAGACGTCGTTGCCACCACCGTGTGTTGCAGGTGGAAAGCGAGCGGGACGAGCTGTACCGCAAGTTTGTGACGGCCGTCCACGAGGTGCAGCAGAAGAGCGGCTTCAAGAGCCTGCTGCTGGAGCGGAAGCTGGTGGCGCTCGCGGACGCCATGGAGAAGAAGGAAGCGCAGCTCAATGAGGTGCTGTCTGCCTCCAGCCTCGACCCGACGGCACTCAGCATTGTCACCCGCAAGCTGGAGGTAACAACAGGCTCTCCGCCGCATCTCCGTCAAATTATTATTGTTTAAATTATGCTCGTTTACCCAGAAAAGCCTCGCCGAGTTTCAAGACTCTTTTTCAGGGAGGTCCTGATGCGGTGGTGAGATGTTATCTCCTTCGCCTAGTATGAAGGAGAGCGTGGGTTCGATCCCGACCCTGACACCTGTATATTTGGAGTTTGTGTGGATTTTTTTCCTGGTCCTCTGGTTTTTTCCTCCACATTTAGAATCAACATCACACGTTTAGATTATTTGGCTGCCATGAAATTCGTAATGGCTCAGTGGGCTTTACCTGGTAAAATTAAAACAAGTTTTAGTTTAGAGTTTTTCGCAGTAGGGGGCAATGTTGTTGCTGTGTGTAATCCTAATTTGAGTAATTTGCAGGTAATTTTTCAGCATTGGGATGATTGGCCAGTACAAATAACATTGTGTGTTGTTTTAGCTATGGGAGGAGGCCAGAGAACTCAGAGGAATCCCATGCATAATAGGGGGAGGACATACAAACTCAACAGAGAAAAGCACCCAAGTCGGGAATTGAACCCAGGTCCTTCTTGCTTACCATTGCATCACCCTGCCACCCTAATTTACATTCCTTTCTAACAGACAAAAAATACAGAGCTAATGTTCCGGATTAAAATGTGTTTGAAGGATTGAGCAATATTTGTCAGTCAGCTAAAACTCAATCTTTAGATGTTGTTTGTCTAGAAAACTTGCTGAAACGGCATTATCACCATTATCATCACTGTGATGAAGCGGGCCAGCGTTTGGGACGCAGCACGGCTAAGGGAAACGTCTGTCCTCATGCTGTTGCCACGTGATGGCCAGCTTCGCATTTTGTTCAGCGCTGTCATGAATGATTAACTCTCTTGCATGGCTCCTGTTCAGCATGCCAATATTGCCTAGGACCGGTTCAGATAATCTTCACCGGTGTTCGCTATGAGCAGGAATCGAACTCAGGTCACCGGCTTTGTCGCGCAGTGTGCTAACCTCTACACTACCGCTCCCTACTTTATTTACACATCCCATTAGCCACACAGCCTTCCTTCTGGGAGTGCATAGTTTCAGCTGCAATGAGTTTAACATAAGGCTTGCTTGAACCAATTCTGGTGAACTGCCAGATGTGAAATGCAGGAATGGTCCCAATATTTATTTATGGTCCAATATGTGTTCATGCATTTACAAACTCTATATCAGTAATTTTGAGTAGACTACTATCTTGATGTTTTACAACGCAACATGAGAACACCAATAAACACACCTTATTGAGCTGCAAATTTTGTGTCTAGGTCGAATGTTTAGTGGAGACTTGCTCACTTATTATCTCATAAAATAAGTGTTGTTGTGATTGACATTGGCTGCGTGCCACTGCAGACGCTCTCACGTGTTAGCAATGTGGTGCAGGTGTTGACGCAACAGCAGTGGCAGCCAAGGCAGTGAGTGACTTGTCTCAACGTACACGTCTCGATTGTCGCGCTGGTTTTTTTTCATGCAGGATGTCCTGGACTCAAAGAACAACGCCATAAAAGACTTGCAGTATGAGCTGGCGCGTGTGTGCAAGGTGAGAAGGCAATACTCTGTGTTTTGTCATTATTTCATCAGTGTTTCTGCCAGTGTTCAGGCTTCAAATTTATTTGTGTGACTGGGTGAGAACTCCAGAGACCAGAAATTAGGCTAATTTGCAAGAGTGGCCTGGGTCACCAACATGACAAAAGCAATAACGTGAAAACAAAGTCCAGCAAGGAAGCAAATATTAATCGGAGCAAAAGCCATTTTTTTAACTGCACAAACATACATCAATATGAAATAAGGCTGGCGCATACCTATCAGGCAATCTGCCTTGCATAAAAACAAAATCTATTGGAAAGTTATTGTGACCCGTCCAGCCAGCATGCTCGGTCCCTCTGCATTTAATATTTTTGACAAAACGACACCGGGAGCTGCCATGGTAAAATTAAATCCAGAGGTCACTGCTTCGATTTAATCTCCCGACCTCTTGAAGTTTTGTGCCTTTGAGCCCCAAAAGCCCTTCCTGGACATGAAATTATTTCAAAACAACTGGAGGAGCGATGAGTGTTGCCAACAGGGCTGTTGCTGTGAATTATGTCAACCGTAACACATGCATGGCCAAAGCAGCTGCTGTCTTCACAACCACTAGGAAGCCCGCTGGCTTTGGCTTCTGAACTGGCTGAGTGGGTCTGGTTCCAAATTCCGTGGTATCCATATTCGGAGAAAGCCAGAACACTTACTTATTTAATTATTATTCATTATTTATGTTTTGGTTAGACCATGTAATGATCTGACCAAATTATCGTCGTGTGACCCTCTCAACCAAGCAAATAAAATTATGAGATATACAAGCGTTTAACGCGCCAAGTGTTATTGTTTCAGCCTCACCAGTGAGTTGAACCATTCTCACAGCCAGTTTTAGCGATCCGATGCAAATAAATAAATGAATGAACACATACAGTTCTAGATGGTGCACAGCGCCAGTTTGTACACAATGTGCCGACAGCTGAATCAGTGGCGCGTGTTGTGCGCGTGCAGTTTAATTAGAGACGAGGACGATCTATTTGGTGTTTGAACATCCTAAAACCCGTTTTTATTGATACTGGAAAGAAAGGTACCATGATGTAGCTGCTCACCCCGAGCTATAAATGCCCTGATAGTGCATTGTCTTTGTGCCCTTCGCCTTTTGGCGTTCTCCGGTGTGGACCAATCAGTTTCAAAGACAATGCATATATTACCAGAGCATGTGTTTGTTTTCATGTTCACCACAAATATGTGTGCATAATAGAGGTTTTTTTTGGGTTAGATCGTGTAAATATATAAATGTGTCGTTAAAACCCGCCACCACTGGACACAGACAACTAGTAAGGTTTGTCACGTAAACAGAACATACTCTTTGGTTCTTTCGGTAAAGTCACGTAGGTATAAAATAAAATAAATCACGTTTCCATCGCAACACAAGCAGTCGTTCTCAGGCGGAAATCAGACCCCCGCTTGCTTGCGATGGGCAAGCAAGCGGGGTCTGAGCTGGAAAGGAATTCCACCCCCGGACGCAAGCACGTCAGTTGTGTTAATGGGGGAGATTAGGGAGAGAGGGATTAGGGAGGGAGATTAGCATGAATGAGCTTCCATCGCCGAATAAGAGTATCATACCCGCATATGCGCACAACAGCAGTGTTAATGAGAGATTAGCACCATGAGAATGCAATCCAAAGGACATGTGAGAGATATAATAGAGAGGCATAGAGAGAGACACACAGAGAGTCGGAAATAACAGCTGACATAGGCAGGTAGGATGGAAACATCACAGTCAGTTACGACTTTACCTGGTTAATAACGTCCTTCCAATGATTGCTCAGTTTGTACCCATCTTCTCGGTTGAAGTTGTGTCTGTGTTTATATATCTGGATGACTTCATGAACAAATTTCTGAAGGTAGCCTGTAGGTTTGCAGAGTACCTCCATCTTGGAAAAATCAATTTAATCTGAGCCCACAGCGTTAAAACAATGATCAGCAACGGCAGAGGTATTTGGTCCTACCGTGTTTCAGATCCACCTTGTGTTCACGAACACAGTCCGAGACATGTCGTTTCGTTTCCCCAATGTAACTGCTGTCACAACCACAACTCACTTTGTAGACACCAGGGTATTGCATGTCAGGAATCACATCCTTTGTGTACTGTGTTGAAACGAACCTGGATCCTGTGTTTGTTTGGATTGCACTCTCATGGTGCTAATCGCTCATTAACCCTGCTGTTCTGCGCATATGCGGGCATGATACTCTTATGCGGTGACCTAAGCTCATTCATGCTAATATCCCTCCCTAATCCCTCTCTCCCTAATCTCCCCCATTAACACAACTGACGTGCTTGCGTCCAGAGGTGGAATTTCTTTCCAGCTCAGACCCCGCTTGTTGGCCCATCGCCACATATATAACCTTGTTGTCACTGCTCTCTCGCTAGTTCAGCAGTTCTACTGCTGGATTATATATTTTTTTCCGCCTGCGAACGACTGCTTGTGTTGCGATCGAAACGTCGTGATTTCTTTTATTTTATACCTACGTGACTTTACCGAAAGAATCAAAGAGTATGGATTCCTGCAGTCACGAAAGCTTCAAATCAAGATTAAACAGAACATGTCAATTCACCACTAGTACAGCACACCGGTGTGTTGCAGAGCCAAGCTACAACATTTACGATCTGAGTACGACATTTCGCCAGTAATTACAACTAGCTTCATCAGGCGACAGCCAGATTTGTGGAGAAGTCTAACTTTTTTGTTCCTTATATAGTGGCATAAATGTGGTGACTACACTTCTGCGCTCTTGCGCAGCAGGGGGGGGGGATTTATGAGTCAACATACATTATGCATGTGCATTATGCGAGCCCTTTGATCTTGTCCTTTCTGTCCATTGTGTGTATTAAAATAGCCGTACCAATGGTAATCCTCATTGAAGTACGGTGCCCTTTATTGGCATGCATTTAAATAATGTACTATTTGATGATTCTCTTCCACGCGGTTAAAATTATTTATATTTCTTTCAATTTCGATAGATTATCTAATTAGTCTTGGCCAGTCGTAGCTAGTTTTGCACGTAACTTCAACATTATCAAAATCAATTGAGTTTCCTTGTTGGCACGCGTGTTCTGCTACTGCTGACAGTTGTATTTGGGTGTATTTAATATTTAGTTTCGTGCTTATCATTCGTCCCGTTTGCCCATTTGCCACACGTGCAGTTAATCTTGTGTAGTGGGTTCAACTGAGTCGCACTCTTAGACATGAAGGCAGCGCATTTATATAGCTCCAACACAACAGGGTGACTTCACCCTTTAACAAGACAACGACCTAGGGTGGTGACCACCCTGGCTAATTACACTGGTTACTGAGTAACTATTAGCTCCGGACCTGGGACCAACAACATACTGCCCGGGTCACATTCTGGAAGACTCGCAGAACGGAGATCGTAGACGAAGGGTTTCTTCCCCAGGACGGACAACCCCGATCCCTCTCGGGACTCGGCTCAGATTCTCTCCGGTGTGACCGGCTCCGCCCTTGGCCACGCGCCCCTTCCAGAACCGTCAGGAAGAACCTGGGTTCCAATCACGTGACCCTCCTAGCCCCCTCTTGGGGGCCCCCCTGTCATTCAAACCGGTCACGTGTCCTCTCGGGTCAACCAGAGTGTCATTGCCTTTCACGACCTTCCTCTTAGGTCAGCACACACACACCGTGCCCTCTGGAGCCAGCACAGCATTTACAGCATGGTGCCATCCAGCGATGTCACTCCATGCACACCATGCCCCTCTAGGGCCGGTACTGCACCCACAACATGGTGACATCCAGCGATGTCGCTTCATCGCACACCGTGCCTCTCTCGTGCCGGTACTGCACTCACAGCATGATGACATCCAGCGATGTCGCTTCATCGCACACCAATCCTCTCTCGTGCCGGTACTGCACCCACAGCATGATGACATCCAGCGATGTCGCTTCATTGCACACCGTGCCTCTCTCGTGCCGGTACTGCACCCACAGCATGGTGACATCCAGCGATGTCGCTACATCGTACACGATGCCCCTCTAGGGCCGGTACTGCACCCACAGCATGATGACATCCAGGATATCACTACACCCCCCCCTCCCTTTCGTAAAACCCATCCGTCCCGTCTGTCAACTCCCCCCTAAAAGCAGAAAAAAGCCCCTTAGCGCCTCAACAAATAAAAATCAACAATCGGAATGTACAATATATACACCATATATATAGTGACGAACGGGGGAAGGGAACAGAGGGACAGAACACAACAATAGGGCAATAGCACAATAGACAAAGAGAAAAACAGGCGGTAACACAAAATCTCAGGAACCCAGCACCAGCATCACCCACCCTCAACATGTAACAACTCCCGTGAGCACAATAACGGCTAGGTTCAGCCAATGACCAATATGACTGACGAGTGCGACATCCAACCGACGGTGTGGGAATGTGTGTGTGTGGGGGTCATGAGAACCAGACAGTTTTGGAACGAGTCCTTGTAACCGGGCCCCCAGGCGAGGTGGGCGTAAGCTCCCTGGGGGTCCCAGGGGGAATTCGAAAATGTCCTGACGAGCATGGCTCCTCACGAGGAGCAGTCGGCAGGGAAGACAGGCGCTCTGCCCCTTGAGCTCCTGGAGACGGCAAAGTCTGCGGTTCGGGGGTGTTAAACGCTCGGAACCTTGGGACCTAGCGGAGTTGAGGACGGGTCGGGCGGATTACGGCGGCGGTCCGGGGAGGCGTCGTCGCGGGGCGCGCCAACCCGACGAGACGTGTCCCGGCAGGCCGCAGTTGTAGCACATGACGGGGCCACTCCCTGGACGAGGAAAGGTCTCCCGCCGTCGGTGTTGTCCATCCCGTCGCACCATGCCATCTCCCCGCCAGCCTCAGCCTTGGACCAAAGCGCAGGCTTGGACGCCGCTAAGGCGTCATTGTCAAGAGCAGCGAGTAGCGCTCTCAGCGCCTCCACCTCCGTCCATCCCGCCAAATCACAGTTCGTCTGGAAGCGACGCTTGAAGGCCACTC